TCCCCCCTTCATCCCCTTTTTCCCAAATCCAAAATGCCACAAGACCTCTTTCCCTTTATCTAAAACTGTTCACTTTATGTTTCACTGTAAACCCCGGGGCCACACACCCCTCCCTTTTCCCTAAAGCCCCTTGTTCTCTGCTATCCTATTCCCCTCTTACTTTTAAATTTTCTTTCAATTAAACCTACCTACACTTTCCCGGGACACTCAACAGACTTACCCCCCTAAAATTTTTTGCACTCCTTTTACCCCTTTCCCTTTTTATAAAAAGGAAACTATGCATGCTCTTCCCAAACCCCTGGTCCTTACCTTTTCCCATACTTTTATAATAATTTCACCAACCACTCCCAAAATATATCCCCAAACCGCTTTTAACATTTCTATCTTTTACCCTCAATCCCGGGTCCCTTTCCCCCTTTTATTTTTCCTATGCCCCACGATTCCCCCACACTCACAAAATGGCTTTCCTCACCCTACAAGAGGTTTTTTCCCCCTTGCCCCAACACGAAATCACAGTTCCCCTTTTTCTCAACATTTCAAACCTCAAAAAATTCCTTCCATTTCCAATACCTCTAACCTCCATTTAATAACTCCCCCTCCTATTTTTTTAAATGACAAATCAAATTTTTTCTCTAGGTTTCTTAACTTGTTAAACTACTCCAAAAAATTTTTCTTTTTTCAACAAATTTGTTGATACATACATTTGTTGAAACATAAGGTTTTTTTAACAGTATTTTGAAAGGAAAGAGGTCTTTGTGGCATTTAGGATTTGGAAAAAGGGGTATGACAGGGGGGGGATAGGGGGCAATGTGGCAGAGTTTCAGGTGTATGGTGTAGGGGGTAGGGTTTCTGAAAGCAGTGAAGAGTTTTTACGAGGTAGTGGGCTCGTTAAGTATAGGGAAAGAGGGAAATTATTTTTCCCCGTAAAAGTAGGCCTTAGACAGGTGTGTTTTCACCATGGTTGTTTAATATATTTTAGATGGGGTTGTAAGAGAAGTAAATGCGAGGGTCTTGACAAAGGGATGGAGTTAAAAAAATAAAAGAATCACACATAAAGTGGGAGTTGCACAGTTGCTTTTTGCTGATGACACTGTTCTTGGGAGTTCTGAAGAGAGTTGCAGAGATTGGTGGTAAATTTGGGGTAGGGTGTGCAAAAAAAGAAAATTAAAAGTGAAAACAGGAAGAGAAAGGTTTAGGATAACGAAAATATTGGGTGATAAAAGTTTGGGTATCAGATTGGGGGGAGAGATTTGGGAGGAGGTGAATTTTTCGATATTTGGGAGGGGAGTGTCAGCGGTGGGTTATGAAGGATGAGGTAAATCATAAAATTGAGAGGGGAAAAGGGGAGTGGGGCACTTGGATCTGTGGAGACAAAGAACTTTGTCCTTGAGGCAAAGAGGGGAATGTATGAGAGTATAGTTTTACCAACACTCTTATATGGGTATGAAGCATGGGTGATGAATGTTGCAGCGAGGAGAAGGCTGGAGGCAGTGGAGATGTCATGTCTGAGGGCGATGTGTGGTGTGAATTATAATGCAGAGAATTCGTAGTTTGGAAGTTAGGAGGAGGTGCGGGATTACCAAAACTGTTGTCCAGAGGGCTGAGGAAAGGTTGTTGAGGTGGTTCGGACATGTAGAGAGAATGGAGCAAAACAGAATGACTTCAAGAGTGTATCAGTCTGTAGTGGAAGGAAGGCGGGTTAGGGGTCGGCCTAGGAAAGGTTGGAGGGAGGGGGTAAAGGAGGTTTTGTGTGCGAGGGGCTTGGACTTCCAGCAGGCTGTCGTGAGCATGTTTGATAGGAGTGAATGGAGACGAATGGTTTTTAATACTTGACGTGCTGTTGGAGTGTGAGCAAAGTAACATTTATGAAGGGGTTCAGGGAAACCGGCAGGCCGGACTTGAGTCCTGGAGATGGGAAGTACAGTGCCTGCACCCTGAAGGAGGGGTGTTAATGTTGCAGTTTAAAAACTGTAGTGTAAAGCACCCTTCTGGCAAGACAGTGATGGAGTGAATGATGGTGAAAGTTTTTCTTTTTCGGGCCACCCTGCCTTGGTGGGAATCGGCCAGTGTGATAAAAAAAAAAAAAAAAAAAAAACGGATTAATCTAATTTTCATTATTCCTTATGGGAACAAATTCGTTCGGTATCAGCACTCGAACAGCCTTCTGGAACGAATTAAGCTCGTAACTCAAGGTACCACTGTATCCCCACCCCTCAATCAGAGTGCAGGCACTGTACTTCCCACCTTTCAACACTCAAGTTCAGCTAACTGGTTTCCCTGAATCCCTTCACAAAATGCCGACTTGCTCACACTCCAACAGCTTACCAAGGCCTTAAAACAATTTGCCTCCACTCACTCCTCTTTAACACACTCATACATGCCAAGCCCCTCACTTCTTAGTGCAACCCTTACCCCACATTCTCTCCACTACAGATTTATACACCCTCCAAGTCATCCTATTTTGCTCCTTCCTCTCTAAATGTCCAAACCACTCAACAACCCCTTCTCAGCCTTCTGCCTTCCTCCTAATCTCAAAGCTGTGAATTATCAGCAAAATATTTACACCACACATTCCCCTCAGACATGACATCTCCATTGCCTCCAGACTCCTCCTTGCTGCAACGTTCACAAGCCAAACTTCACACTCACTTAAGAGTGCTGATACTACTATTATCTCATACATCATCCTTGCTGCCTCCATGGATAATGTTATTTGTCTCCACAGATGCCTCAATGTATCACCCACCTTTTTCCCCTCATCAATTCTATGGTTTACTTTGTCCTTCATAGACCCCTGTTGACAAGTCCACTCCCAAATATCTAAACACATTCACATTTTCCATATGCCCACCTTCCAATCTGATATCCAATTTTTCATTACCTGTATCATTTACCCTCATGACCTTGTTCTTTCCTATGTTTACTTTTAATTTCCTTCTTCCTTCCTTCTTTCCTCCTTCCTTCTTCCTTTGCAGATGACACCCGAATTACCATGACAGTGTCCTCCATCGAAGACACCACAAGATTCCAAGCGGACATCAACCAAATCTCCAAATGGGCGACTCAAAACAATATGAATTTCAATGAAGAGAAATTTCAACTACTCAGATATGGAAAGCTTGAAGAAATTAAAACTGTATCAGGATATACAACAAATTCTAATCATACAATAGAGCAAAAAAGTAATGTGAAGGACCTGGGAGTGATAATGTCAGAGGATCTCACCTTCAAAGACCACAACAATGTATCTACCACATCTGCTAGAAAAATGATAGGATGGATACTGAGAACCTTCAAAACTAGGGATGCCAAGCCCATGATGCTTCTCTTCAAATCACTTGTTCTCTCAAGGCTGGAATACTGCTGTACACTAACTGCTCCCTTCAAGGCAGGTGAAATTGCTGACCTGGAGAGTGTACAAAGAACTTTCAGGCACACATAAGTATGATAAAACACCTAAATTACTGGGAATGGCTGAAGTCCCTTGATTTGTATGCCCTGAAACACAGGCGAGAGATCTATGATAATATACATCTGGAAAATCCCAGAGGGATTAGTACCAAACTTGCACATGAAAATCACTCCCTATGAAAGAAAAAGACTCAGCAGGAGATGCAACATTCCCCCAATGAAAAGCAGGGGTGCCACGAGTACACTGAGAGACAACACAGTAAGTGCCAGGGGCCCACAATTCTTCAACTGCCTCCCAGCATACATAACGAGGATTACCAATAGACCCCTGGCAGTCTTCAAGAAGGCACTGGACAGGCACCTAAAGTCAGTACCTGACCAGCCGGGTTGTGGTTCATATGTTGGTTTGGGTGCGGCCAGCAGTAACAGCCTGGTTGATCCGACCCTGATCCACCACAAGGCCTGGTCTCCGACTGGGCCGCGGGGATGTTGACCCCCAAAACCCTCTCCAGGTATACTCCAGGTATACCCTCCCAAAGTCATTCACCTGCCTTTGAATTTCTCTTCAGACTCTCCCAAAAGCAAAGAGTTATCAGCATAAAGCAACTGTGACAATCTCCCATTTTGTATTAGATTCTGCATGAGTTGTACAAAGGAAATATCAGATTATTGTGTCTAGCATAAAGCCTACGAGTTCTATTGCAGCTATCAAGAAAGTTTTAGGGCAGGATTAATATTAGAACTGACTGTCCTGTATATGGAGAATATACAGAAGTATGAGTGAATTTTATGTACATTAAGCTTTTGTATATTAATGTATATTAAGTATATTAATGCATATTAAGTCTATTTTATGTATATTAAGCTTTTGAGAAGTGGGGGAGTGTATTGCCTGGCACTAGACTGGGTGAGTCATTCATACAGTAACTTGGGGAAGTGTATTACCTGGCACTAGACTTAGTGATCATTCATATGGCTGCTTTTTGCAAAGTCATTAATTTTAGGTGATTTGCTGTAGCTGATGTTTACAAACAAAACAATAGCAAAACAAAATAACCTGAGCAACTATGAAGCCAATGTAAATACTGACTTGTATTTGAATGCTACAGTATTTTTAATCTTCCCAGTTTTCTGGTATTACTTCACGATAATGACAGCTCTCCTGAAGATTTTAACCATTTTTAACACGAGTCATAAATTACTGTGTTTATTTCAAATAAACATCCGACTTACGACCGAGCTTGGTTCCGACTAACCGGTCTTAAGTCAAAATGGACATCAATCGAACCTTAGAAAATTGCCGACATACTGGGTAGGGCATAATGTCAAACCTTTGCTATATAAAGTACCTACATTATATCACATGTTACTTTTTACCAAATATTTTACTATTGTATATCAACATCACAGTTATTGTAATGATTTTATTTTATTGTTTTATTTTTATACAGTCATAAGTATGAGTGGCCATATGTTGAGCAGGTCAAAAGTCGGATGGTACTTGTACACTGTAATAGACAATCTATAATTATTAAGTACACAATACAATGGCAACAATGTTGAAGGAAAACAATATACAGAAAACATACGCTGAGGCATTATGAGGAAGCCTGCAGAATTAAGCTCATTAACTTCCCAAGTTGTTGTCACTTCATTTTGCACGTATAAGAGGGTGGAGTTGGAGATGGGACCGGAGATAATATTATGCTTGTTCTGTGCAAACACTGTGGCTATGTATGTGTCTTCAGTCAGTGTAAGTGGATAGGTTAACTGATGGGGCACTGTGCCTAGTGGATAGTCTCCTGGTAAGAAAGAAAAAATTTTGTTAATTTACAATCAACATCTTTAGAGATCTCTTGCATATATTACAAAGCACCTTGTCCAGGTGATCCACATATCATAAATCAAATTCAGGCTCTTACTCTTAAGTACTTAATCTTTTCATAATTCAAGGTTTTATATTATAAAAACACTCTCAAGAATGGCAAATAAGGGATAATGAAAAATATAATCATACTCTATAAGTAATATACATTATCCAAAATATTAAGTACATACCTGCACATATAATACAAAGATACTAGGAATGATTTCTACAAGTACCTACTTACCAGTATCATTGAATGTATAGTTGGTTCCAACAGATGGTTCAAAGGAGAAAGTGAGGCTGATTGGTCCTGCCACACTGAACACTGCAGTGAAGTTGGCATTTATGTTGGACCTGAGAGATTTGAACTGATAATATTGAGCTTTCTTAATGTGCTAATAGATTCATAATTTTCTTTAAAATTATCAACTAATTTTATAAGCATTTGAGCCATTAAATGTCACCATTAGATACATAAATTTCTATTAATCCTTATATCTTCCAAAAAAACACATGGAATGGTTTATGAAAGGAAAATAATTTAAAAATATATCAATATTGATATTTTGGGGGCATCATGGGTAGTGAATAATACTTAGGTAAAGGTATGGAAGTTTTCATTGCTTTTATGGATTTAGAAAAGGCATATGATAGGGCAGGTAGGGGAGCAATGTGGCAGAGGTTGCAAGTGGGGATGCTCCAAGGCATCCCCACACATCAGTCATGTTTCAAATCTCATAGGGTAAGCTGTTGTGCTATGGCATCTATCTTCCAGCCAGTTTCCAGTGTTCTTCATGCCATTACTTCTGCCATTCCCTTTCGGGTAAGACTTGCTCCTCCCTAGTGTTACGAAACCTCTCCCTAGTGGTCACTAAGCCTCTCCCTAGTGGTCACTAAATCTCTCCCTAGTGGTCACTAAACCTCTTCCTAGTGGTCACTAAACCTCTCCCTAGTGGTCACTAAACCTCTCCCTAGTGGTCACTAAGCCTCTCCCTAGTGGTCTAACCCTAGGCCACTCCTCTCCTGGTGGTCAACTAAGGCCTACCTCCCTGTGGTAACTAAGCCTCTCCCTGGTGGTCACTAAGCCTATGTATAACTCATAGATTAGGCTAATAGTTTCCATGTTGAACAACCTCTGTAATTATTTAATTATTGTACTGAACTTATTTTTAGAATATTTGCTCATTATAGCAGAAAGTTATTTCTGTGTTCATCAGTAAAGCAGTTAGATTCATATTCCCCATTGTGAAGTTTAATCTAAAAAGCCAATGATGGTTGAATTTCAGACTAGACATGTTATACCCAGTCTTTTTTCATGCTCAGATTAGGCTCCATCCAGTTTGTATGTGTTGATTTATTGAAGCACTTTCTCATCTATTACTACTAGTATAATTAATTCAAGGTGGATTTCAGGTTGGTGCTGCTGCATTAGACCCATCTGCCTGTGGACATGACACCTTGTACAGTACTTCATTGTATCCTTTACATGTTAAACCAACTATAGCAGTCCCTGGTTGATGATAGACTTAGTTAAATGATAGCTATCATTCTACTGCTAAACTGTAAGCAAAAAATATAACCTAGCTCTAATTTAATTGATGTAATCTATGAGTTATAATCTAAAATTATAACTCATACATTACTGATCTCTATTTCCAATTTATACACTAAAAAGTTCTTGCCTTAACTTTCTAATTGATTAAGAGGTATCAGATCCCTACCTCAAACTGACTGCTTCTTTAAAACATTACAAGTGTCAGCTCTAGACATAGTCTAGAATAATAACTTTCTTTTGTAAAAAGTTATTGTGTGTCCTTTTCCACAGTTTGTCAATATCATCATACCGTTTACATCCAATAACTTTCTATTATCCAGTGATTTTAAATATAAGTATGTGGGTCAGGATGCTGGGGATGCAAAAGGTGGCAGAGTCCAGGTAAATTACCAGAGACTGCAGATTCAAGCAAAATAAAAAAAAATAAGACTGTCAATTTAGAAAAAAATAACTTTACAAGCCAAATTTCTTTTATATATATTAAACATATATCCATGTAGGTTTTATTCATTTGATATATGAAAAAATGGTTCTGCACACTGGGTGTGCACTGTACCCAAAAATTCCTGCCTCACTCAGAGCATAAATGGAAACAGCTACCCTCTCAGTTTGTTAACCATAGCTTCCAGACATACACCCCACCACAAATAACTAATTATCCTTAACACCTACAGGGGACAAAAGAGATTGTAAAAATTATAGAGGAATAAGTTTATTGAGTATACCAGGAAAAGTGTATGGTAGGGTTATAATTGAAAGAATTAGATGTAAGACAGAATGTAGGATTGCGGATGAGCAAGGAGGTTTCAGAGTGGGTAGGGGATGTGTAGATCAAGTGTTTACATTGAAGCATATATGTGAACAGTATTTAGATAAAGGTAGGGAAGTTTTTATTGCATTTATGGATTTAGAAAAGGCATATGATAGAGTGGATAGGGGAGCAATGTGGCAGATGTTGCAAGTATATGGAATAGGTGGTAAGTTACTAAATGCTGTAAAGAGTTTTTATGAGGATAGTGAGGCTCAGGTTAGGGTGTGTAGAAGAGAGGGAGAATACTTCCCAGTAAAAGTAGGTCTTAGACAGGGATGTTTAATGTCACCATGGTTGTTTAATATATTTATAGATGGGGTTGTAAAAGAAGTAAATGCTAGGGTGTTTGGGAGAGGGGTAGGATTAAATTATGGGGAATCAAATTCAAAATGGGAATTAACACAGTTACTTTTTGCTGATGATACTGTGCTTATGGGAGATTCTAAAGAAAAATTGCAAAGGTTAGTGGTTGAGTTTGGGAATGTGTGTAAAGGTAGAAAGTTGAAAGTGAACCTAGAAAAGAGTAAGGTGATGAGGGTATCAAATGATTTAGATAAAGAAAAATTTGATATCAAATTGGGGAGGAGGAGTATGGAAGAAGTAAATGTTTTCAGATACTTGGGAGTTGACGTGTCGGAGGATGGATTTATGAAGGATGAGGTTAATCATAGAATTGATGAGGGAAAAAAGGTGAGTGGTGCATTGAGGTATATGTGGAGTCAAAAAACGTTATCTATGGAGGCAAAGAAAGGAATGTATGAAAGTATAGTAGTACCAACACTCTTGTATGGGTGTGAAGCTTGGGTGGTAAATGCAGCAGCGAGGAGACGGTTGGAGGCAGTGGAGATGTCCGTCTAAGGGCAATGTGTGGTGTAAATATTATGCAGAAAATTCGGAGTGTGGAAATTAGGAAAAGGTGTGGAGTTAATAAAAGTATTAGTCAGAGGGCAGAAGAGGGGTTGTTGAGGTGGTTTGGTCATTTAGAGAGAATGGATCAAAGTAGAATGACATGGAAAGCATATAAATCTATAGGGGAAGGAAGGCGAGGTAGGGGTCGTCCTCGAAAGGGTTGGAGAGAGGGGGTAAAGGAGGTTTTGTGGGCAAGGGGCTTGGACTTCCAGCAAGCGTGCGTGAGCGTGTTAGATAGGAGTGAATGGAGACGAATGGTACTTGGGACCTGACGATCTGTTGGAGTGTGAGCAGGGTAATATTTAGTGAAGGGATTCGGGGAAACCGGTTATTTTCATATAGTCGGACTTGAGTCCTGGAAATGGGAGTACAATGCCTGCACTTTAAAGGAGGGTTTGGGATATTGGCAGTTTGGAGGGATATGTTGTGTATCTTTATACGTATATGCTTCTAAACTGTTGTATTCTGAGCACCTCTGCAAAAACAGTGATTATGTGTGAGTGTGGTGAAAGTGTTGAATGATGATGAAAGCATTTTCTTTTTTGGGATTTTCTTTTTTTTTGGGGGTTACCCTGCCTCGGTGGGAGACGGCCAACTTGTTGAGAGAAAAAAAAAAAAAAAAAAAAAAAAAAAAAAAACTACAGGCACTAACAAGATTGAACAGAGATTCTGATATGGAGTTTTATGGGTTTGAGATGAAAGAGAGATGTGGAAGGAGAGCCTTCACTAACCTGATGTAGTACGGTGGTGCCAAGTTGAGAGAGGCGTTGAATGTTTCAGTGAGCAACTGTGCGATAGTTATTTGAACATCTGTGATGTTTCGTTCACATGAAGTAATATTTGTTAAGGGCGTTGCCACTCCATTCTAGATGATGTTGAAGAAATTTATCAGGAGGAATAAATCAAGAAATAACAAGGAAAAATATATACTGGACTCCTACAGTATTTGATATTCTATATAAGAATCAATGTAAATATGCTATCAAATGAAGGGGACAAAAATGTGTACTGACTTACAGTAAGGGATCACAAACTCTGTAACTTCGAATAAATTTGAAACAATTAAAAACATACTGTCTAATCTCTATATAAATATATATTATTAACTCTTATTGTTTTCATTTCATCCATGGGTGAAAATTAATTTGTTTGCAATGTGTTATTTATTTAATAAGTGTTTCTATATTACTTTTTCTAATCCTAATAATTAATTTTTTACTGTATACTATTGTGTGTGTGTTTCATTTTCCATTTCTAACATAGTTGTCATCATACCATAATGATTTCTTTCAATTTGTTATTATTATATTTGAGTACCTTTTATTAATGTCTAGATGTACCGTAATTACTAGGAACAGAATTACGATGTTATTTTTTATACAGTATTTAGTGTGAGTTTTGTATATTTGCAATAGGGTTTCACATAAACATCCATGCAGCAGAGTATTCATAAAGCACGAACAGAATAATGTTTTCCACAACCACAATGTACATGTCCAATATTTTAATCAGCTGTGGCCTGATTAAAATATTGGAGGTCTTAAGAACATAACTGTTTTTGTCATATAACCCTTAAACTGTCCAAACGTAGATCTACGTTTTTTCAACATTTGAAAGTATGTAAAAAAATGTAGATCTACGTTTTTTTTTATATTTGAAAATATGTAAAAAATGTAGATCTACTTTTGGAGCACTATGCATGTGAACATAGATCTATGTTTGGTCAGTTTAAGGGATATTCTTCAGTCCACATAACATGAATTTCAGGTTAATGCTATTTTCAAGAACATAACCACCACATTATGTGAGACTACTACATTTCTGCATGTACACTCAAATGTCGGCCACCTTCATACAAACATCGTTTCATTCTTAAATAAAGTATTATTATTATATATATGACAAATACATGTAAAGTATTCTACAGTATTTAAATGTGCACTATGATTCTTAATTTTACTCCTAGTTTAAGTCTCCCTGGAATGCTTTGCATAATTATGGGAGTTTTTCTGTAGGGAATACACAAACTGTTAACCTATCTTTATAACATTCATGTAATTTCTTGTGGAATAAGAATTATGTATCATCATCATTATTAGTATCATAAATGATAGACAATCAGATGGAATATAGTACTTACATCATCTGTAACTTTGAGGTTTACATCAACATTGACAGTGATGCAGCTATGTGCAAGTTGAACAGGCATATTCTCCTTGACGATGGCAGCCACATAGTGATGTGAGGTTGATGGAACTCCAGCAACTATATCTCCACCAGCACTTGCCTGAGGGCTATACATAAAATCATGACAATCTCTATTTTTGGGTAGCTTCATGAAGTGCTATATTTATATTCCTAGCCCTTGGTAATTTCATGAAGTGCTACAAATATATTTCTAAAGGTTGATAGCTTTACAAAGTGCTACCTTTATATCTAGTGACTGACAGCTTCATAAAGTGTTACATTTACTATATGTATCTCTAATGCTTGATTTTTTCAAACAAAATGGCCAATTCCCACTGAGGTAGGGGCAACCTCCCCCCCCCCCCAAAAAAAAAAAACACATCCAACATCATTCAATGCTCATATTACCTGCAAATAATGATACTTCACATTCTATGTCTGATCAATTCCACACTGTGTATACTATTAAGTTTCCTTATGACTGTTGCCCTGCCCACCTAGCAGTAAATACATACTTGTGTGTTAGCTGACTAATGTAGGTCACATTTTAGTGAAAATTATTATACAAATTGAAAGAAACTCTAGACCTGTTAGAAATATTCAAGAATTGGGAAAAAAGCACCTGTAAAATGCAATTGTAACAATGATAAAAATAAGTCATGAACACCACCATTCTTCTGACAGTCCTTGTAGCTTATACCTTACTATAGAAGATTATTATATTTTGATTAGTAACTCAGGATAAAAAGAGAAAACCAGCCAGTGTGACTTTTTTAACATTGGGGTCTACTGACTTCTAAATCATATAACCCAGAACAGTCAGTTAACATCCAAGCACCTACTTACTGTTAAATAGAGGGGGCAGCAGGTATTAAAACTTGTTCACACTGTATATTCTGAAACACCTAGAATTTAAAACTGGTCCATTAGATGTGAGCTGAGTGCAGCACATTACTGTACTGTTATATTTATGTGGAAGTGCTGAACTCATTGGGGGGTCACACAATGTCTGTTTAACTGTTTGATCCAAGGAAGAGGAGGGCAGCTCCACTTACATGCAACCTCAGGGTCTTCCGCTAATACCTTTTGCCAACTGGTCCTGTTATGGTGATAACGTCTCCAGGTAGCAAGTCAACTGGGGTTGCCATTACTTCTCGGTGGAAGCCCTCTCCAGTAAATGAACCTGATACTTCAGTACCTGCTACAGGTGCCCAGGTTGCAGCAGCTGTGGAATAAATGTAAATATTAATAAAACCAATAAAAAGTAAGAAAAAAAAATCACTCTCTTCCCTTCCCCCTACCACCCATTTTTTTACAAAAGGGTTTTACAGGGCTTGGTTAAGAGTTCCTACTTCATTTACAACCTTTTACAAGTTCCTGCCTTTTATGTACAACCTTGTAAGAGTTCCTGCATTTATTTAAAACCTAAGAGCTATAGCTTACTTTGGACTGTTCTCTCTCTCTCTCTCTCTCATCAACACTTAGTGGTTTTTACATAGTGTTAGTGTACAGCCAAAGAACTGTAACCTACCTCAGCTTATTTAATAAACTTTCTCATTAGATATTTAAGTGACTAACTGAACTTTTTTTTCCTCTTAAAGTTTCCTTTTTCTATCACATCACAAAGCCTCATCAGATTGGTTTCAAATTTTCAATGCTTATGTGTGGTAACTAGGACAAAATTCTTGGAACCACTAGCATGTATACCTGGAGAGATTTCCGGGGGTCAATGCCCCCACGGCCTGGTCTGTGACCAGGCCTCATGGTGGATCAGGGCCTAATCAACCAGGCTGTTACTGCTGGCTGCACGTAATCCAACATATGAAACCACAGCCCGGCTGGTCAAGTACTGACTTTAGGTGCCTGTCCAGTGCCTGCTGGAAGACAGCGTGGGAGCTATTGGTAATCCCCCTGATGTATGCTGGGAGGCAGTTGAACAGTCTTGGGCCCCTGACACTTATTGTGTTGTCTCTTATCGTGCTAGTGGCAGCCCTGCTTTTCATTCTGGGGATGTTGCACTGTCTGCCGAGTCTTTTGCTTTCGTAGGGAGTGATTTTCGTTTGTAAGTTTGGTACTAGTCCCTCTTAAGATTTTTCCAGGTGTACATATATAATCATGTACGTATCTCTCCCTCCTGCGTTCTAGGGAGTACAGGTTTAGGAACTTCAAGCGTTCCCAGTAATTGAGGTGGTTTATCGCAGTTATGCATGCCGTGAAGATTCGCTGTATATTTTCTAGGTCAGCAATTTCACCTGCTTTGAGAGGTGCTGTTAGTGTGCAGCAATATTCCAGCCATTGGGTGCAGGCACTCAATGACCAATGTTTTAGAAAACACTCTCAGCAGTCTGGAATTGCTCCATTAACTTTCAAAACCCTGTGCAGCACAGCTTCAGATATTCAAAAAAAGTGCCTCACAATTCAACAACAGATGGAACAAAACTCTCTGATGTGTGTAGGTGCACACCTGCCATTATAACTCACATCATAATAACATGACAGCAAACAAACCACAGAACAGGTGGGGTTTGAACCCATGGGGAGTGATTCATAAAACTTCAGGCTTGTGCATAAGGCACTGAGCCAACTGTCTACAATAAGATTCATCCACCAAGTATATTCATACACCATAGGAAGGTTAGCATGGACCCCACTGTGACAACAAATGCAAGTTTTTACAGATGAATCTCCCACCAGTATTGCTGTGTCAAACTTTAGCTCAAGTCCCCTCAACTCCCTCACCATGGGTTCAAACTCCACCAGTTCTATGGCTGGTTTTTTCATCTGCCATTTTTGTGTCAAATAATGTGAAGATTTTTATTCTCATTAAATCACAGAAAATATATTGCATTATGCTTTTTTGCTTGGCTTCATTTTCTAATGCCTGAAGTATTTTACAAACACAACAGTACCCATCAAGTTAGTCTTTATGTGGGCATATTTGTAATATGGTAAAACAGTTAAAAAATTTTGGAATCTGTGCCATAAATGGAAAATGCTTCTTCTGTTTGGTTTCCAAGTAGTATCAGCAAGGTTCACACTGTGACTGGGCAGCATAAGTTCCCATTCAGTAAATAACCTTTTCACTGTCTCTTACACTTGCCGCCTCCCTAATTAAGAATGATAATAAATTTGTTGAACTAGGTGTAAGAATTAACAACTGGGCATCTACACTGCAAACTGAATTGTTTGCAATCCTAATGGCGCTAAAGCTAACTTATGACACTGAGCTTGACTCTATCATCATTACTGATTCTGTCATCACTGAATGCTCTTGACTCATATATTGAATCCAACAACATGCTCATTGGAGAAGCCAGGTATAGATACTCAAAAATCCGGGACAAAGGAATTAATGTACAATTGCTATGGATCCCATCACACATTGGATTACTTTTTCATGATAAAGTTGATATGTTAGCCAAGAAGAGTACCCAGGAGAATGTAGAGTATAACCCAAAACGGTTGGGATCCTCTCCAAGATACGATACTATGTGCTGCAAAATGCCCTTCTCACACTATACCACTCACTTATTTATCCATACCTCACCTATGCTATTTGTGCTTGGGGATCAACTGCAGCAACACACCTAAAGCCAATAATAACCCAACAAAAAGCTGCAGTAAGAATAATCACTAAATCCCATCCCTGGCAACACACACCCCCACTCTTCATAGACCTAAACTTACTCCCTGTTCAGTACATCCACACTTACTACTGTGCAATCTACATCTACAGGGCCTTAAACTCTAATATCAACCTTGACCTAAACGCTTTCTTGATAGTTGTGACAGAACCCACAGGCATAACACCAGACACAAACATCTCTACGACATTCCCGTGTCCGACTAACCTTTACAAAAATTCAATGTATGTCAAAGGCCCTAAAATCTGGAATACCCTACCTGAGAACTCTAGAACTGCAGACACATTCATCACCTTCAAAACTACCATTAGAAAATATTTTATCTCCCTGATACACCCCGTCAACTAACTACACGAATACCACCTGGTGGTTCACACTTACACTCACTGACTCATTTGACCATAAACAGAAATATTAATCTCAATCTTAAAATAATGAATCCTGTGATACTCCAATACTGAAACTTTGTACTGTGAGTTTAGCATTTACATTGCTAAACTCACAAACTAGTATTTAGTCACTTAGCCATAATACCAACTTACCTCATAATTTGTAATATTTTACAATTAAGAATAAAACTAAGTCTGCCCGAAATGCCTAGCCAAGCTAAGCGTTCTAGTGGTACACTCTGTAATCACTATTTTACTACATGTAAACCACACAATAACCAAATTTCTGTAAACTCAGCATTGTAATCCTTATAGAGAATAAACTTTGAATCTGTGTCTAGCATTAGGAATAATATTAGGAGAGAAGTAAATAATGAAAATGATTGTTATAGAATGCAGTAAGAAGCCTGAGTAGATCTATAACCCACTATGATAACATGAATGTAGATAAGTATGTTTATGGAGCAACTTGCAATGTGAACAGACTGACTGATGTTGTAGTGGCCAGACTTAGGCTTGGTTACAAGTACTTCTGGCAGTTTGGGAGATACACAGATGATGATCAAACTATATGTAAATTATGTGAACAGGCATATGGTCACTGTCTTGAACATTATGTGCTTAATTGTCCACTTATTGAGAGATACAGAGATAGACAATATAATAACCTATGTAACATGTCAAGATATCTTATTAATGAAAATAAGATACCAGATATACTAAGCAAATTTCCTAAATTTGCTTGTAACAAATAAGTGAACTGTAGATATGTAGATATAAATCCATATGTACACCTGTTAACCCTTTTGGGTCCTAGTTCCTAGACCTAGGCCTTTTGTGTGTCCATATGCTCTTGCGCTACCGTCCACAGGGTAGATATGGGGTGGACAATAAACTAGCCACTTCGGTGGCAAAATCTAAATCTTACACAGATCTACATTCTGAGCTCCTCTCGTTCTCAGATAATTTGCGAGTGGTAAATTTTGGTATAAGCAGGAGAGAATAGGTCTGTGCGGTGAACGTGCACGGTATATAAAAAATCCTGCCCTCACAGTTTAAGAGAGGAATAGCAAAACCTCTGACTTTGTGTTTGGTATAAAATAACAATTTTGAGATATTTTCTAGGATGGTCTTTATGGTTTTATTGGCTGTTTCTTGGTATGATTTAACAGAATGGAAGACTTACTACTGAAACAGATGATTATTGTTGGCTTCAGGTCTGAAAGTAGGTTAAAAAAGGCTTACAATATCAGACATATTCGATACTGATGATTTGTCCTGATTTTTTTGGGGTTATCCTAGGTTCTTTACACATGCTGTTATGTATGATAATCTATGTAATTGTATTTGTGTATACCTGAATAAACTTAGACCAGATAAGCCCCCCCCCCCCGGTCTGTTTTATTGGGATGAAACATACATAACCAGCAGACAGGAAACAAATTAATAATGACATTGCAGTCCGACTTGGACCTAAAACTTGAAACATTACAGGGTCAGAGGACACTCTCGATTACTTAAAATCTTATCTTAGCAACAGAAACCAGTATGTATACACAAATGGCGTTAACTCCATTACACAACCTGTTCTTGTTGGAGTCCCACAGGGTAGTGTCTTTGGTCCACTTCTCTTTCTCATTTACATCAATGACCTCCCAAATGCATCTGAACTCCTTAAACCCGTTTTATTTGCAGATGACACTACTCATGTCTTCTCTTACCCAAACCCAACTATACTAACAGGCATTGTAAATGACGAACTACTATATCTACTTGGATGACTGCCAACAAACTTACTCTCACTATAGACAAAACCTACTTCATGCTATTTGGAAACAGCTTCAAATGTAAAAGAAAGTCTCCAAAACAGTAGGCATCCTTTCAAACATACGGTATTATGTACCTCAAGCGGCTCTTCTTGCTCTTTACCAATCTTTCATTTCACCAGACACCACACTTCACCGCTTTTTAAGAGCCTTACCTTGCTTCATATACAAAACATTTATACTTATTATTATGCCTACTACACACACAGAACATATACTCAAATATTAATCCTTCTCTCAAACTCCTCCTTCATAACTACAACAGAACACAAGAATAACACAAGTCACAAATCACTCTTCAATATCCCTGGTGTCCATCCCTCCCTGTGTAAAAATACTATGCACATAAAGGGCCCGAATATCTGGAATTCATTGCCAGAACACACTAAAGGGCCCCTGCTGCCTCCAAATCAATTTAAGGTCCTTAGAAATCACCTCATCCCCCAAAATTAATCACACAAACACTATTTTACATCTACCAGTTACTCAAAAAACTCCTAAATAATTTATGATCACTCAATTATTCGATCATTTAGTTCAAACTTAAAATTGTTTTAATTTAATTATTGTATATTGTGTTGATGTTTGCTCAACCATTTAATCACATTATAATTATTTCAATTTCATTGTTTTAAACTGTGCTAAATTCTAATACTTCATATTGTAAATTATGCTTGATGATTGCTCAACTATTTAATCATTACTTCAAACTTAAAAATTTTTCATCTTCATTGTTTTAAATTGTGCTAAATTCTAATACTATATTTTTTTATATACTATATCAAACTGTAATTCTTCTCTACCTAACTTATTAAAGCCAGATAGCGTGAACTAGTTGAATATAAGTGGCTTTGGCATGCTGCTCTTATCTGTATTTTTTTGTACCTCTGTATGTGTGCTCAAATTGTTAATAAATAAATAAATAAATAAATATTCAGTTTTCTTGTATTGACTCTAACTCACCTAATGACCGTATGTACAATTACAGCAATGTTATTGCCTTATTAAACTTAAGTTTGCCCGAAATGCTCTGCATATAAAGGTGCTTTTGGCATGTTCACCAAATTGTTACACTCCTTTGTACAAACATGTATCATGCTAAAACAAACTTGTTATTGTTATTAACTAGTCACACAGAAAATGCCCTGAACCATGATCAATCATTCCTGGTTATACTTTATTATCTGAGAGACTGGGTAAAACTTGGGTTTTTTGGTGATGATGAATTCAAAATAGAGGGGAAGTGTAACATAAAAGAGGCCTGGGGATGTTATTAATAAACAGAGATGTTGCTTTAGTGGCTGGAATGCATAGTTTATTTTAGACTTCAAATAAGATTTTTGTTTTAATTTTGTGTAAAATCGGCCAAATTACAGAAATTTATGAACTTCATAGGGTAGTTCAGTTAGCTGATGGGCAATTTTCTTGTGCTCAGTCAATAGGTAGTTAAGTGTTGAACTAAGCAGTGGAACTGGCTTAAAATAGGACTTATATTATTATTATTATTATAAAAAAAAGAAGCGCTAAACCACAAGGGCTATACAGCGTTGCATAGGACATATAGCGAGCAAAATCGCCGATGCGTAAATTGTGCCAAGACTACCAGCTTGGTGCCTGCCTAATTCTATGAGTTTTATATAAAATTTCGGATTTATGGTGTTATTTCCTTCAGAAATAGATTCTATTCCATTTCACTTTTTAATTTAAATTCTTGACACTGTCAACATCTAATTCTGGGGGTCTCAACAGAGAAGGGGTTAAAGAATTATTTTTTTTTTACACAAATCAGTTTTACAAGCTACAAGCTGTTATCCCACCTCAGCTTATTTCAAAGCCCAGCCCTAACTAGGACATACTACCACCCCCAGGATGCCATCCACAAGTCGATTAACACTCAAGTACCTACTTACTGCTAAGTAAACAGGGACCGCAGCAGGTGCCTGAGAGTGATCATGTCGGAGGATCTCACCTTCAAGGACCATAACATTGTATCAATCGCATCTGCTAGAAAAATGACAGGATGGATAATGAGAACCTTCAAAACTAGGGAGGCCAAGCCCATGATGACACTCTTCAGGTCGCTTGTTCTATCTAGGCTGGAATAGTGCTGCACACTAACAGCACCTTTCAAGGAGGGTAGAAATTGCTGACCTAGAAAGTGTACAGAGAACCTTCACGGCGCACATAACTGCGATAAAACACCTTAATTACTGGGAACGCTTGAAGTTCCTCAACATGTACTCCCTGGAACGCAGGAGGGAGAGATACATGATCATATACACTTGGAAAATCCTAGAGGGACTAGTACCGAACTTGCACACGAAAAGAAAAAGACTTTGCAGACGATGCAACATCCCCCAATGAAAAAGCAGGGGTGCCACTAGGACGATAAAGAGACAACACAATAAGTGTGAGGGGCCCAAGACAAGTGTGACCATGGCGTAATAGCGCACAAAATGCGTGCTAAAGGGATAACAGGAAAAGTCGGTCGATGGATCTATAATTTCCTCACTAACAGAACACAGAGAGTAGTCGTCAACAGAGTAAAGTCCGAGGCAGCTACGGTGAAAAGCTCTGTTCCACAAGGGACAGTACTCGCTCCCATCTTGTTCCTCATCCTCATATCCGACATAGACAAGGATGTCAGCCACAGCACCGTGTCTTCCTTTGCAGATGACACCCGAATCTGCATGACAGTGTCTTCCATTGCAGACACTGCAAGGCTCCAGGCGGACATCAACCGAATCTTTCAGTGGGCTGCAGAAAACAATATGAAGTTCAACGATGAGAAATTTCAATTACTCAGATATGGTAAACACGAGGAAATTAAATCTTCATCAGAGTACAAAACAAATTCTGGCCACAAAATAGAGCGAAACACCAACGTCAAAGACCTGGGAGTGATCATGTCGGAGGATCTCACCTTCAAGGACCATAACATTGTATCAATCGCATCTGCTAGAAAAAGGACAGGATGGATAATGAGAACCTTCAAAACTAGGGAGGCCAAGCCCATGATGACACTCTTCAGGTCACTTGTTCTATCTAGGCTGGAATATTGCTGCACACTAACAGCACCTTTCAAGGCAGGTGAAATTGCTGACCTAGAAACTGTACAGAGAACCTTCACGGCGCGCATAACGGAGATAAAACACCTCAATTACTGGGAGCGCTTGAGGTTCCTAAACCTGTATTCCCTGGAACGCAGGAGGGAGAGATACATGATTATATACACCTGGAAAATCCTAGAGGGACTAGTACCGAACTTGCACACGAAAATCACTCACTACGAAAGCAAAAGACTTGGCAGACGATGCAACATCCCCCCAATGAAAAGCAGGGGTGTCACTAGCACGTTAAGAGACCGTACAATAAGTGTCAGGGGCCCGAGACTGTTCAACTGCCTCCCAGCATACATAAGGGGGATTACCAACAGACCCCTGGCAGTCTTCAAGCTGGCACTGGACAAGCACCTAAAGTCGGTTCCTGACCAGCCGGGCTGTGCTCGTACGTTGGTTTGCGTGCAGCCAGCAGCAACAGCCTGGTTGATCAGGCTCTGATCCACCAGGAGGCCTGGTCACAGACCGGGCCGCGGGGGCGTTGACCCCCGGAACTCTCTCCAGGTAAACTCCAGGTAAACTGCCTCCCAGGATACATACGGGTGATTATCAATAGACCCCCTGGTTGTTTTCAAGCAGGCACTGGACAGGCACCTGAAGTCAGTACCTGACCAGCAGGGCTATGACCTCATCCTTAAAGACTAGAGCATGCAAAGGATCAACATTCACAGGGAAAGACTAATGATTTACTATCTTTAGGGAGAGGGGTTGCTCTGATGCCAGCGAAGGACTCTTAATCCAAGAAATTGGAACTACCCTCCCGTTCATCGGATTAAACCTGATTACCTCTCATTTCCATACCGGTTTAGCGCTTCCCTTTGAATGCAATATTTATATAGTGACCACTCCTGTGTACCCCATGAGGCGGGAATACATGAACATAAAATTTACAATGACAATGGTTTGACAGAGATAGAAAATATCTGTCATTACCTTGCTGGACTAGAGCAACACCTGCACTACTGCTGCAGGTGGTAGCCTGTGGCCAGAAGACATTGGAAGCAGGGCAGGTGTGGGTGGTGCCCAGAGGGTCGTCTGGCGGGGCACTCATACACCCTCCCACATCCACAGAGTACTGACCGCTGGCACACGACGGACGCTGCATCTGTTGGTACAAACTTAATATGAGGATAAATAGGTGAAATCAGTGTCATGATAGAACCGACGCTGCTACCAGCTGATCAAAATAATGTTATCTCTACAGAATTACCATGACATATAATTAGTAGGACAAGTGAGTCAATATGGATTCCAATAACAGCCACACACATGTCTAGACTACATAAATACATGTATATCATGTTAGGAAACAAACAGCATTTCCCTCCACCCTGGAAGATAAGAGCTTATATCACTATGCCCACCTATCCTCCCAAGAAACGAATCATGCACAATCTTTAACTTTGATTACTTTGTAAAATCAGTGCTCTGAAACATACATGACGTGAGGACAAAGAATATTATCACAAAGACTACGCTTATGGTTCCCTTAATCAAGACAGTGGGAGGGCAGGATGTGTTGTTCTTGTGAACCACACTAATGCTATTATAATACAGAGGTGTATCAGAATTAATAACTGGGCTTCCACCTTACAAACTGAACTGTTTTATATAAAGTAGGGGCTGTGACTCGTACGTCGGTTTACGTGCGGCCAACAGTTACAGAGGGGGTTGATCAGACCCTGATCCACCACGAGGCTTGGACGATCACGCCCTGATCCACCACGAGGCTTGGACGATCACGCCCTGATCCACCACGAGGCTTGGACGATCACGCCCTGATCCACCACGAGGCTTGGACGATCACGCCCTGATCCACCATGAGGCTTGGTCGATCACGCCCTGATCCACCACGAGGCTTGGACGATCACGCCCTGATCCCCAGAGGCTTGGTCCATCACACCCTGCCCCCACGAGCTTGGACGATCAAGCCCTGATCCACCACGAGGCTTTCGTAGCCTGATGCACCACGGTTGGTATCATGCCTGATCACACGAGCTTGTCATCACGGCCTGATCCATCCCGAGGCGTGTCACGGACCAGGCCGCAGGGCTTACCCTCAAACCCTCCAGTATAGATCTAGCCCCCTGTTACGCAGTTTCTAGGAAAGGTTTATATATGCTGATTCATTCAAATGGGCTCCTCTATCATCAGGTGCAACTAATCATCTCTGTAAAGAGTGTCGAGGTTGGTGAAGGACTTCTGATCCAAGAAACTGGAGCTACCTTCCTTTAGATCAAATCTGCCGACTTTCCATTTCCCAATACGATCAAATTAGTAAATTCGGAGACAAATCACTCGCAAATGTCCAAGAAATGTGAATGTTATCCACAGTGGCACATTACCAACCATTCTGGAAAAACACCCGGACTTTATCTATTGTGAATAACTCATAACCACTAAAGCTTATTTAAATTCAATTATAACTTGGTATAATATACCTGGAGAGGGTTCTGGGGGTCAATACAAGGTAATATAATAAGAATTCAAAAGAATATTTAAGCTATATTCTAATGTTTTTGTGACTGAATTCATATCTGCATAAAAAACTCATTACGACTTAATTAACAATATATAAACATGTAATAGTTCATTACCACTATAACTTTTCTAATTATCAAAATTTTGGGGCCCGTCCCTAACCCATTATGTGCCACTATATTCTTTTCACTGTTGCCCACAGGCATGGGGTGCATGATAAAGATATTAAACTAACTCCCATTTTAAGATCAGTGTGATATGGAATCCACAAAAAGGTATACCCTGATTCCACTGTCTGCAATCCTGTTAGATTAGGTTAGGTAAGATTTGTCAGGAAACAGGAAAAGTGTTTCCTGACCGGGTCTTATTTAGATGACCTGCAGTTGAAGCTTTGTCATCCGACCCAGGTCTTCCACTGACCTACCGGTCCACCTCTTTAATAATAATAACAACAATCTTATTTCTACAAGTGCCTGATACAAATTACACAAACCTAGATGACATCAATGACATACTATATAGAAAGCCCCTGGTTATGCAGAGCATTTCTGGCAACTTAGATTAACCTTGTCCCCCAGGATGCGACCCACACCAGTCGACTAACACCAAGTGCCTACTTGCAGCTAGGTGAACAGCGACAGTGCACGGTGTACGAACATGCTCATGTCGTGAAGTTCTTTCTCTATGTGCGAGTTATTGTTATGCTCAGTTACGTATTCTCTGGTTCAAACATGCCAATGTCGTCCGTGAAAACCAGTGAAGTAATCCTATTCTCCTATGGGGAGAATTATCTAGGTAATCCATACCCGCGTTAACGGTATTAGTCCAAATCAGGTCGTTCATAACACTATGCCCAATAGTGTCACCACGTGAAAGTTACCCATGGAAAGTTTAATGAAGTCACTGACTTTTTTTTTTTTGGAATTATCCTAGGTAATCTCTACATATGCTGCTATGTATGATAATTTAAGTAACTATATTGATGTGTATCTGTACCTGAATAAACTTACCTACTTATCGGGGATCGAACCATTATTTTGATGTGTTATTGCCTTATTAATCTTAAGTAAATCTTAAGTTTGCCCGAAGTGCTCTGCATCCAAGTACACTCAACTATTATATTCCTTTGTACAACCATGTATCATGCCAAAATGAATTTATTATTATTATTATTATTATTATTATTATTATTATTATTATTATTTTATTATTATTATTATTATTATTATTATTATTAATCCTGTGTCTGGTTTTTAACACGAACATGTGGAGCATTTATGGAGTTAAGAACATTTATGGTTGATAATCACTTGCAGTTAAGGTGAAAGTGATACATACCTGGTCACTTTTGTGTACAAGGAATATGACAAATAATGTTGAAGGCTGGAAGCCTCATTGTTAATGCTCCAATTTCTATTTAAGAGCCACAACCAGCTGCAACGTGGGATGGTGTACGGCTGACAACAGACATAACCCCTTCAGAGGAGGTGCCTTGGTGAAGACCAGGGGCTCTTGATCCAAGCAACTGGACCACTTTCCCTGTCCTTGGATCGAACCTGAATGCCTCCCATTCCTCCAGGCGTTACATAAACCTTACAGGTTTTGCGTTTCCCATGAATATAACAATAACAATAATAATAATAATATTATATAATTATTATTATTATTATTATTATTATTATTATTATTATTATTATTATTATTATTATGATCATCATCATCATCATCTTATATAATTTCTGGAACAAAGTGTGGCTAATATAATAAATTATACCACTCCAGTCATCGTGCTGGGCTTCACGACAAAGTTTTGACTGTGATCTAATAAAAGTAAGGGATAATGATTTGGAAAGAGACAATTTCCCATGATGTGTAAAATTTTGATAATTTTTCTGTAACTAGTGTAATAACTGAAGGACATAATAGTGTTGATATAACTTAGAGTAGGTGTTTAGTGTTGGTATGACTTGTAAAAGATGTTAAGCCACAGAGGAGCCAACATCCCCTATAATTTACTCTTTATTTATGGTAATCAGTTAAGTAAAACGTACTTATTATAATGTTGAAAAAAATTAATATTCGAATAATGAGAATGTATTACACACCTGGAAGTGTTATTGAATTAAATGAGATGATGTATTGTGTACGAAAACATGGAAATGGAAGCCGGGTAATGGTGTAGTGTGGACGTTGGTCTGATCAGTGTTGTAATTAATCTAATATAATCGGAGCTGATAGAAATAGTATCATCATAAATTTGGAACTACGAAATAAGTTGATGTGGAGCGCACCTGGAATAATACATATGTATAGTGCAACTGTCAGATTAATGCTGATAATAATAGAAAATGAGACGCAGTGTTAACACCATTGTAATGGTGTGTTCTCGCCTCACCGTGTGTTTTAATTCTCACATAACAGGTAATGTAACTATTGGCCAATATTAGTTGCCTGCCTACAGGAAGGCATTAGGATGTGAAGCCCAAAGAATAGTTGGGTGTCTTAATTTTTATGTACACTCACTTATAATAATTGTATTAATTTTATGTAATATTACAATGGTGTGTTATAATCAGTTAAACCAGCGGACCAACAAACTAATTAAATAAAAATTGTCAGGCACAAATTTTTCTTTATATATGTTCAGTCCACAACCAAATTTAATACAGCCAATGTTATTGACTTGAAATATTTTGTTGAAAAATTTCAAGAAATATATGCTCAAATAATTTAAAGTCCAGATGTGTGAGTTTGGGAGGTCAGAATGTATGCATGGAAGGAGGGACAGTCCAGTGACCCACTGATGCTGAAGTTTGGGAGGTCAGAAGGTATGCATGGAAGGAGGGACAGTTCAGTGACCCACTGATGCTGAAGTTTGGGAGGTCAGAAGGTAGGCATGGAAGGAGGGACAGTTCAGTGACCCACTGATGCTGAAGTTTGGGAGGTCAGAAGGTAGGCATGGAAGGAGGGACAGTTCAGTGACCCACTGATGCTTTAGTTTGGGAGGTCAGAAGGTAGGCATGGAAGGAGGGACAGTTCAGTGACCCACTGATGCTGAAGTTTGGGAGGTCAGAATGTAGGCATGGAAGGAGGGACAGTTCAGTGACCCACTGATGCTGAAGTTTGGAGAGTCAGAAGGTAGGCATGGAAGGAGGACAGTTCAGTGACCCACTGATGCTGAAGTTTGGGAGGTCAGAAGGTAGGCATGGAAGGAGGGACAGTTCAGTGACCCACTGATGCTGAAGTTTGGGAGGTCAGAAGGGAGGCATGGAAGGAGGGACAGTTTAGTGACTCACTGATGCTAAAGTTTGGGAGGTCAGAAAGTAGACATAGAAGGAGGGACAGTTCAGTGACCCACTGATGCTAAAGTTTGGGAGGTGAGAGGGTAGACATAAAAGGAGGGACAGTTCAGTGACCCACTCATGCTAAAATCTGGACGGTGAGAAGGTAGACATAGGAGGGGCAGTTCAGTGATCCACCGATGCTAAAGTTCCACCTGTCTCCGAGGTACAATTATAACACTAAGTAATCTGTTTTAGATATGCCAGAGTTCTCCCCAGTTACGTATGAAATGTTAATTCAAGATTGTACCTGTGAAATTCACCCACATTTCTCGCACACGATTCACGAAAGGATGTGGCGCTGTTAATTTATTTATGTATACAAGTATATACGAATGTTGAATGTTTATATGTGTATGTGTTTGTGACTAAATGAGTTTGTTGTTATTAGTGTTAAAATCGTTTGCCTGACTTGCTTTGTACAGTGGATTGATAACATTTCGTTTACTGGTACTATTTATTTACATAATCCATTGTTAAACGGTTTAAGTGTATAAAGAGGACGGGGTAAAAGTTTTGTACTCGGGTGTACGGGTGGAAACATTAGTACGTGTTACCTCAAGACACCTGCTGTTCATGTTCACCTAGCAGTAAAATAGGTACCTGGGTGCTAGTCGACTGATGTGGGTCGCATCCTGGGGACAAAATTGACCTAATTTGCCCGAAACGCTCTGCATAACAAGGGGCTTTCTATATAGTAATATGTCATTGATGTCAGCTAGGTTTGTATACTTTGTACACATTCGTTGCCATATTCGCTCCCTCCTAGCCTCGTGGTCCCTCTCCTACCTGTTCTTGGAACTATGTATGGGGCTTGCCTCCACTTCTCGACCACTCTGAAACTGAAGAAATGCTTCTTGACATTCCTGTGGCTCCTCTGTGTCTTTAACTTCAATCTGCAGTCTCGGGTACCTGTTTCCCGCCTCTCAAGCAGCCTATCCCTGTTTATTCTAAGAAAAAATCCTCTGAGTATTTTATACGTTATCATATCTCCCCAGGTTCTTCTGTCCTGCTGTTAGATTCAGTTCCGTTAGCCTCTTGTCATGACATATTTCTCTAGTTTGCTTGATTATTTCGCATAATGTGGAGGTAAATAGATGTATCTATTTTTTACTAACGAAATAAAATAAAATAACTCTCACTCTACAAGACGTAAATAATGAGTCAATGAATACCACAGGAAGAGTACACCGACAAATATGTTAATTGGACACAGTGTGTGGTTTATGAAGAGAACATTTCATCCACCAGTGACTTTTATCAATTCATCAAATTGATAACATCGCTGGATGACGAAACGTCTTCTCAGTAAGATATATTCTACTTTGTTCACACAGAAATAAATGCTTACACTGATGGAGAAAGCTCCCGCAGTGTTGGCGTACATGTCGAAGGCCAGAAGCTGCGAGGGTTTGGTAATGGGCTCTAGTTTATTGATAGTTGCTGTGGCACTGTCACCCAGGGCCACCATTGGTGTGATGGCTCTGGGAGCTGGTGTACCTTTTCTGTATATGGTAGAACCTGTGGAGGGACAATTATTGTTATTATTATATATTTTATATTTTATTATTGTTGTTAATGTTATTGTCATTATTATTATAACGAAGAATATAACAATATATACCACATATCAAGAGAGTTATTTTAATTTAGGACAGAGGAAAGAGCCGTACCTATAGCAGTGATAGGATAGGTAGTGGCGCTGTCACTGAAGGTAGCAGTGTAGGAGTAGGTGGCATTAGCCATCGTCACTGACACGTTACAGTAATATACTTCGTTGGGGTTCCACACCTGAAAATGTAACCACACACTGGTAAATACATCTCATACCTGTAATTGTAACTCACACCTGTAAATCACACCCTTCCCAAGCTCGCACATTATAGTGCGTCAATTTGTAAACGTTCTAAGCCTCCTACAAAATTAAATAGTTACTGCTTTCATTTATTTTATAGTAAGTTATTATTGTTCTTGAGTGGGTCGATAAGGCCAAGTGAAAAGAAATGTAATAACGTTAAGATTTGATTATGACAATGTTCCGCTCAAGGTGCTTCACCAAGTTGTTTATTGCATGTTTGTTACTCATATTGAAATATTTCGCTGTTTCATATGTCATCTTGCACTCGTAATATATGAAATATATGTATGTTATACAATATAGGGTTAAGGAATTATTTGTTTGGTGTATACCTGAGAAAATATTTGAAAGCAAAGAGAAGGTTGGCTAATGGCGTTTACAGCCTATCGACTGTGTTCATTAACTGCATATAACCTGTTCGCTACATGTCAAGAATGCTTCATTCCCTAAAATAGGGACCAAAATAAGTTCTTAGAGCTTACACACTGAGAAACATACGTTTTGTATGAGGTTAAAAAATTAAACTTGGCAATGGAACGCAAGCAAACGTGTTTAACATATTGGTAACTATGCTGTTTAATGTTAATTATGTACTGTTTAATATGTTAATTGCGTGCTGTTTAATACTCTGTAGATGAGCAGATAACAGTGAGTTTAGTGGCTGATCTAGTTAGTAAAGTAGTGCTGTAGCAGATATTACTTTTACAAGTAAGAACTGACTTACAATTGGGCATCCCACTTCATCAACGGAGGGCACGGCCGTCTGTGTTAGGTTGAAGTCAGCGTAGTAGTTCAGCCAAGTTCCTTCTATCATACTCATCACTGTAAATATTATCAATAGTATTAGTGGCACTGTCTCTAATTACTACGTATTTATATAGCTACAGGAGCATAACTATGCTCGTAGTCTCCCGTCTTCGGTAATTCATCATATATATATATATATATATATATATATATATATATATATAAATATATATATATATATAATATATATAATATATATATATATATATATATATATATATAATTTCCTTGGTTGTAGCATTTATTGTTGCCATTTTTAATTCATTTCATTGGCTGACCATTCTGTGAAGAAAAAATGATCGTATTTGTGGATTTTTTTTTTACATAACGTATGAATGAATAATACAATAATTGTGTAAGAAAATATGATGCTGTTTGGACCCCGTAGAGAAATTTTAAGTGACGGGGGGTTGTGGAACAGCCAGTAGGGACGGCGGGGGGGGGATGCCATTTTTCAATATGTGAACACTGGTTGTCGTGGGAAATTCTCTTAATAATCGGGCGTTCTCGGAGGCCAAAATGAGGTGTTTCGGCCTGAATTTGTAATAGGAACCTGTGTTAATGTTCCCTGCTGAAGAATTGGGGCAGGAAATTTGCGGGACCTCAAGAGTTGCATGTGGATGGCGAAATAAGGGATGCAGTACACTTTAGTCCTTGCATTCAGATTTCAGCTAGCCAGTGTAGGGTCTAGGTGTTGGGCAGGTGTTATGGTGTGATCCATCTACAGTCATTAAATGGTGACGTGGTAATACAAAGTTCTTTGTACTAATAGTTATAAATCTGTTTACCCAGCAAGCCTAATACCATACAGTCCATTAAACTTCAATGTACCAGAGTAGCTGGTTTTAATATTATGATTATTAATTTAATGTCAGGTGTAGCTTTTTGTGAAAGTGGTAAAGAAGTGGGTAGTCAAAGGAGTTGCAGTTCGGTGACCTACTGTGACTTAAGTCCCACTTAACCTCAACCAAATTACTTGCAGGTAATAATTCAGATAATGCCCTGTAAATCTCCCGCAGGTGATTTGCTCACATAATAGTAATAATAATAATAATAATAATAATAATAATAATAATAATAATAATAATAATAATCATTTTCACAGTATTCTTTTGACCCCACTATTTTTTCCTCGATTTACAACTGTGGATTCTTGTTCGTGTTTCAAGTACTAAGAATTCTTCCTTATTATATATTCTTTCACAACCTTATGTGATAAATGATATGGTGATACTGACAAGATGTGGAAAAAGATACTTATTAGACATTTATCAAAGGAAACGTTTCGCCACGAGTGGCTTTGGACTGAAGAAGCCACGAGTGGCGAAACGTTTCCGGAAATATGTCTTGAACTGTACATAAATGCCATTTTTCACATAACCTTATGTGTTTATCTTTAGTGTTAATTTTTCATCATAAATCATATTTCCCAACACTGTTAACCATTTTATAGTTTTTTTTGCAACCGTATTCACGTGTGTTTTTCTTTGGGTGTAAGAACCACACAGCTACGGCATATTCTAATTTTGGCCAACCATATGTTGGAAATGGCTTTTTTTTTTTAAAGTTTCTCCATCCATATATTGAAAGCTATTTTATAGTTCGTCAGAGTAGTATGTGAGTTTCTCACAATTTTATCTGCGTGATCCAGTGATTTTTAATAGTAGCTTACAGATCCCGTTAATCGATTCTTTTGGACCTCTGAAGGGACATCACCCCATGAACGCTGATCCTTGTAGGACGCTGATAGTGACATTACCGCATCAATACTGATCCTTGTAGGGCGCTAGTAGTGACATCACCGCATGAACACTGATCCTTGTGGGACCCCACTAGTGACGTCACCCATGAAGACATTTCTTCACTCTTCTCATGCTCCTACACCTCGCACTGACTTCTGACATTACTTGACCCAACACTGGCTTAAGAACATAAGAACGAAGGAACACTGCAGCAGGCCTACTGGCCCATGCGAGGCAGGTCCAAGTCTCCTACCGGCTTAAGCCAATGCACCCAACCTAGTCAGGTCAGGTCACCTTGACTTAAGGGAGGAACACGGCAACCGTCCTGGTAGCACAAGCTAATCAGGTCCAACTCACACCCACTCATGTATTTATCCAACCTATTTTTAAAGCTACACAACGTTCTGGCCCCTATAACTGTACTTGGGAGTTTGTTCCACTCATCCACAACTCTTTTATCAAACCAGTACTTTCCTATATCCTTCCCGAATCTGAATTTTTCTAACTTAAAACCATTGCTGCGAGTCCTGTCTAGGCTAGATATTTTCAGCACACTATTTACATCCCCTTTATTTATTCCTGTCTTCCATTTATACACCTCAATCATATCCCCCCTAATTCTACGTCTTTCTAGAGAGTGAAGATTCAGGGCCCTTAGTCTATCCTCATAGGGAAGGTTTCTGATGCATGGGATCAACTTTGTCATCCTCCTTTGTACATTTTCCAGAGCATTTATATCCATTCTGTAATACGGTGACCAAAACTGTGCAGCATAATCTAAATGAGGCCTAACCAAGGATGTATAGAGTTGAAGAACAACCTGAGGACTCCTATTATTTATGCTTCTTGATATAAAGCCAAGGATTCTATTAGCTTTATTGCGAACACTTATGCACTGTTGTCTTGGTTTCAGATTACTGCTAACCAGAACTCCTAAATCTTTTTCGCAATCCGTAATATTAAGATCTACATTATTTAGTTTATATGTGGCATGGTTATTGTCCTGTCCAACATTTAGAACTTTGCATTTGTCTATATTAAACTGCATCTGCCACCTCTACGACCACTGCATCAGTCTACTCAAATCTTCCTGGAGTGCTCTAATGTCCTCGTCAGAATGAATTCGACGGCCTATTTTGGTGTCATCGGCAAACTTGCTGATGTTGCTCTTTATGCCCTCATCTATGTCGTTTATGTATATTGTGAACAGCAGGGGGCCCAACACTGACCCCTGTGGAACACCGCTCGTGACGCTTCCCCACTCGGATTTCTCCCCATTTATGCAAACTCTCTGCTCCCTATTTGTCAACCATGCCTCTATCCAGGAAAAAATTTCTCCTCCTATTCCATGTGCCTTAATTTTCCTCAATAGTCTCTGATGTGGGACCCTGTCAAAAGCCTTACTGAAGTCCATGTGGCTTAGCTGACAATACTTGACCTGGACACTGACCTGACACTGGCTTGGCACCGGTTGACCTGACACTGACCTCTGACATCATAGGAGCCGGGGACGAGGTAGGGGTCAGTTGTGAGAACACTGGCGTTGGCGTAGGACGCAGGAGCCTGGACCCCCAGGTCGATGAGGTAGGTGATTCCAGGAGCCACGGCAGTCATAGTCACCGTAACAGCAGTGGCCTGTAACATCACAGTGCAGAGGTAACTTTGTAATATTCTAAGAAACTATGGATTGTGTGCTTAAGGCCAAATAAATATTATACAAATATAAGACAGTGATAGTGTGAATGATGATGAAAGTGTTTATTTTTCGGGTCACCATACCAGCGTCTTAATTATTTTTATTTTTATTTTTTTTTAAATTACTGTACAGGACATAAAATCATCTGGAGTACTACAGAATGTATATAGCATTGCAGGGAAAACTTAGACTGTAATGTATGAAAGATTTGGTTTTCAACCAGCTGGATTGTGGGTGGGTAAGGATCGAATATACGGCCAGTGGACTGGTGATGGAGGGGTGATAACCTGGTGATGGAGGGGTGATAACCTGGTGATGGAGGGGTGATAACCTGGTGATGGAGGGGTGATAACCTGGTGATGGAGGGATGATAACCTGGTGATGGAGGGATGATAACCTGGTGATGGAGGGGTGATAGCCTGGTGATGGAGGGGTGATAACCTGGTGATGGAGGGATGATAACCTGGTGATGGAGGGGTGATAACCTGGTGATGGAGGGGTGATAACCTGGTGATGGAGGGGTGATAGCCTGGTGATGGAGGGGTGATAACCTGGTGATGGAGGGGTGATAACCTGGTGATGGAGGGGGATAACCTGGTGATGGAGGGGTGATAGCCTGGTGATGGAGGGGTGATAGCCTGGTGATGGAGGGGTGATAACCTGGTGATGGAGGGGTGATAACCTGGGATGGAGGGGTGATAACCTGGTGATGGAGGGGTGATAACCTGGTGATGGAGGGGTGATAGCCTGGTGATGGGAGGGGTGATAACCTGGTGATGGAGGGATGATAACCTGGTGATGGAGGGGTGATAACCTGGTGATGGAGGGATGATAACCTGGTGATGGAGGGGTGATAACCTGGTGATGGAGGGGTGATAGCCTGGTGATGGAGGGGTGATAACCTGGTGATGGAGGGGTGATAACCTGGTGATGGAGGGGTGATAACCTGGTGATGGAGGGATGATAACCTGGTGATGGAGGGGTGATAACCTGATGATGGAGGGGTGATAACCTGGTGATGGAGGGGTGATAACCTGGTGATGGAGGGGTGATAACCTGGTGATGGAGGGGTGATAGCCTGGTGATGGAGGGGTGATAACCTGGTGATGGAGGGGTGATAACCTGGTGATGGAGGGGTGATAACCTGGTGATGGAGGAATGATAACCTGTGATGGAGGGTGATAACCTGGTGATGGAGGGGTGATAACCTTGTGATGGAGGGGTGATAACCTGGTGATGGAGGGGTGATAACCTGGTGATGGAGGGGTGATAGCCTGGTGATGGAGGGGTGATAGCCTGGTGATGGAGGGGTGATGGAGGGGTGATAGCCTGGTGATGGAGGGGTGATAGCCTGGTGATGGAGGGGTGATAACCTGGTGATGGAGGGGTGATAACCTGGTGATGGAGGGGTGATAGCCTGGTGATGGAGGGGTGATAACCTGGTGATGGAGGGGTGATAACCTGGTGATGGAGGGGTGATAGCCTGGTGATGGAGGGGTGATAGCCTGGTGATGGAGGGGTGATAGCCTGGTGATGGAGGGGTGATAGCCTGGTGATGGAGGGGTGAATAGCCTGGTGATGGAGGGGTGATAACCTGGTGATGGAGGGGTGATAACCTGGTGATGGAGGGGTGATAGCCTGGTGATGGAGGGGTGATAAACTGGTGATGGAGGGGTGATAACCTGGTGATGGAGGGGTGATAGCCTGGTGATGGACGGGTGATAGCCTGGTGATGGAGGGGTGATAGCCTGGTGATGGAGGGGTGATAGCCTGGTGATGGAGGGGTGATAGCCTGGTGATGGAGGGGTGATAACCTGGTGATGGAGGGATGATAACCTGGTGATGGAGGATGATAACCTGGTGATGGAGGGTGATAACCTGTGATGGAGGGGTGATAACCTGGTGATGGAAGGGTGATAGCCTGGTGATGGAGGGGTGATAGCCTGGTGATGGAGGGGATAGCCTGTGATGGAGGGGTGATAACCTGGTGATGGAGGGATGATAACCTGGTGATGGAGGGATGATAACCTGGTGATGGAGGGGTGATAACCTGGTGATGGAGGGGTGATAACCTGGTGATGAAGGGATAACCTGGTGATGGAGGGATGATAACCTGGTGATGGAGGGGTGATAACCTGCTGATGGAGGAGTGATAACCTGGTGATGGAGGGGTGATAACCTGGTGATGGAGGGGTGATAACCTGGTGATGGAGGGATGATAACCTGGTGATGGATGGATGATAACTTGGTGATGGAGGGATGATAACCTGGTGATGGAGGGGTGATAACCTGGTGATGGAGGGATGATAACCTAGTGATGGAGGAGTGATAACCTGGTGATGGAGGGATGATAACCTGGTGATGGAGGGGTGATAACCTGGTGATGGAGGGATGATAACCTGGTGATGGAGGGGTAGTAGCCTGGTGATGGAGGGGCGATAACCTGGTGATGGAGGGGTGATAACCTGGTGATGGAGGGGTGATAACCTGGTGATGGAGGGGTGATAACCTGGTGATGGAGGGGTGATAACCTGGTGATGGAGGGGTGATAACCTGGTGATGGAGGGGTGATAACCTGGTGATGGAGGGGTGATAACCTGGTGATGGAGGGTGATAACCTGGTGATGGAGGGGTGATAACCTGGTGATGGAGGGGTGATAACCTGGTGATGGGAGGGGTGATAACCTGGTGATGGAGGGATGATAACCTGGTGATGGAGGGGTGATAACCTGGTGATGGAGGGGTGATAACCTGGTGATGGAGGGATGATAACCTGGTGATGGAGGGGTGATAACCTGGTGATGGAGGGATGATAACCTGGTGATGGAGGGGTGATAACCTGGTGATGGAGGGGTAGTAGCCTGGTGATGGAGGGGTAATAGCCTGGTGATGGAGGGGTGATAGCCTGGTGATGGAGGGGTAATAGCCTGGTGATGGAGGGGTAATAACCTGGTGATGGAGGGATGATAACCTCGTGATGGAGGGGTGATAACCTGGTGATGGAGGGATGATAACCTGGTGATGGAGGGGTGATAACCTGGTGATGGAGGGGTAATAGCCTGGTGATGGAGGGGCGATAGCCTGGTGACGGAGGAGTGATAACTTGGTGATGGAGGGGTGATAACCTGGTGATGGAGGGGTGATAACCTGGTGATGGAGGGGTGATAACCTGGTGACGGAGGGGTGATAACCTGTGATGGAGGGGTGATAACCTGGTGATGGAGGGATGCTAACCTGGTGATGGAGGGATGATAACCTGGTGATGGAGGGGTGATAGCCTGGTGATGGAGGGGTGATAACCTGGTGATGGAGGGGTGATAACCTGGTGATGGAGGGGTGATAACCTGGTGAAGGAGGGGTGATAATCTGGTGATGGAGGGATGATAGCTTGGTGATGGAGGGGGTGATAGCCTGGTGACGGAGGGGTAATAGCCTGGTGATGGAGGGGTTACAGCCTGCTGATGAAGGGGTGATAACCTGGTGATGGAGGGGTGATAGCCTGGTGATGGAGGGGTGATAGCCTGGTGATGGAGGGGTGATAACCTGGTGATGGAGGTGTGATAACCTGGTGATGGAGGGGTGATAACCTGGTGATGGAGGGGTGATAGCCTGGTGATGGAAGGGTCACGGCCTGGTAATGGAAGGGTGACAGCCTGGTGATGGAAGGGTCACGGCCTGGTAATGGAAGGTGACAGCCTGGTGATGGAGGGGTCACGGCCTGGTAATGGAAGGGTGACAGCCTGGTGATGGAAGGGTCACGGCCTGGTAATGGAAGGGTGACAGCCTGGTGATGGAGGGGTCACGGCCTGGTAATGGAAGGGTGACAGCCTGGTGATGGAAGGGTCACGGCCTGGTAATGGAAGGGTGACAGCCTGGTGATGGAAGGGTCACGGCCTGGTAATGGAAGGGTGACAGCCTGGTGATGGAGGGGTCACGGCCTGGTAATGGAAGGGTGACAGCCTGGTGATGGAAGGGTCACGGCCTGGTAATGGAAGGGTGACAGCCTGGTGATGGAGGGTCACGGCCTGGTAATGGAAGGGTGACAGCCTGGTGATGGAAGGGTCACGGCCTGGTAGTGGAAGGGTGACAGCCTGGTGATGGAGGGGTCACGGCCTGGTAATGGAAGGGTGACAGCCTGGTGATGGAAGGGTCACGGCCTGGTAATAGAAGGGTGACAGCCTGGTGATGGAAGGGTCACGGCCTGGTAATGGAAGGGTGACAGCCTGGTGATGGAGGGGTCACGGCCTGGTAATGGAAGGTGACAGCCTGGTGATGGAAGGGTCACGGCCTGGTAATGGAAGGGTGACAGCCTGTTGATGGAGGGGTCACGGCCTGGTAATGGAAGGGTGACAGCCTGGTGATGGAAGGGTCACGGCCTGGTAATGGAAGGGTGACAGCCTGGTGATGGAAGGGTCACGGCCTGGTAGTGGAAGGGTGACAGCCTGGTGATGGAAGGGTCAGGGCCTGGTAATGGAAGGGTGACAGCCTGGTGATGGAAGGGTCACGGCCTGGTAGTGGAAGGGTGACAGCCTGGTGATGGAAGGGTCAGGGCCTGGTAATGGAAGGGTGACAGCCTGGTGATGGAAGGGTCACGGCCTGGTAATGGAAGGGTGACAGCCTGGTGATGGAGGGGTCACGGCCTGGTAATGGAAGGGTGACAGCCTGGTGATGGAAGGGTCACGGCCTGGTAATAGAAGGGTGACAGCCTGGTGATGGAGGGGTCACGGCCTGGTAATGGAAGGGTGACAGCCTGGTGATGGAAGGGTCACGGCCTGGTAATGAAGGGTGACAGCCTGGTGATGGAAGGGTCACCGCCTGGTAATGGAAGGGTGACAGCCTGGTGATGGAAGGGTCACGGCCTGGTAATGGAAGGGTGACAGCCTGGTGATGGAAGGGTCACGGCCTGGTAATGGAAGGGTGACAGCCTGGTGATGGAAGGGTCACGGCCTGGTAATGGAAGAGTGACAGCCTGGTGATGGAGGGGTGACAGCCTGGTGATGGAGGGGTCACCGCCTGGTAATGGAAGGGTGACAGCCTGGTGATGGAAGGGTCACGGCCTGGTAATGGAAGGGTGACAGCCTGGTGATGGAGGGGTCACGGCCTGGTAATGGAAGGGTGACAGCCTGGTGATGGAAGGGTCACGGCCTGGTAATGGAAGGGTGACAGCCTGGTGATGGAAGGGTCACGGCCTGGTAATGGAAGGGTGACAGCCTGGTGATGGAGGGGTCACGGCCTGGTAATGGAAGGGTGACAGCCTGGTGATGGAGGGGTGGGTGGGTGACGAAGACTTGCAGTACGTTAGGTTAGGTAAGGTTTGTTAGGAAACAGGACAAGTGTTTCCTGACGCGGGTCTTAGTCATATGATGACCCACAGTTGGATCTTTTGGTCATTGACCGAGGCCTTCCACTGGCTTACCCTTCCATCCCTTTAAAAATTTTGATTGTAACTTAGGAATTTGCAAATAAGACTTACAGTATTGGAGGCAGACATGGTAAAGTTAGGGCTGCCGCCACCAGACTGCCAGACAGCTAAAACATTGTTGTCTACGGCGCCACACTGCAGCGACGAGTCACTGCACGGTATGTCGCACGTTCCTGCCGTCGTCAGCGTACTCACTGTAATAACAACTCATCGTCAGTGTACCCACTACTAAAACCCATCATCAGTGTACTCACTACTAAAACCCATCATCAGTGTACTCACTACTAAAACCCATCATCAGTGTACTCACTACTAAAACCCATCATCAGTGTACTCACTAAAACCCATCATCAGTGTACTCACTACTAAAACCCATCATCAGTGTACTCACTACTAAAACCCATCATCAGTGTACTTACTACTAAATCTCATCAGGCCCCACACACCGCCTGCACTGGCAAGTGCCACACACCACCTGCACTGGCAAGTGCCACACACCACCTACACTGGCAAGTGCCACACACCACCTGCACTGGCAAGTGCCACACACCACCTGCACTGGCAAGTGCCACACACCACCTGCACTGGCAAGTGCCACACACCACCTACACTGGCAAGTGCCACACACCACCTACACTGGCAAGTGCCACACACCACCTGCACTGGCAAGTGCCACACACCACCTGCACTGGCAAGTGCCACACACCACCTACACTGGCAAGTGCCACACACCACCTGCACTGGCAAGTGCCACACACCACCTACACTGGCAAGTGCCACACACCACCTACACTGGCAAGTGCCAACACCACCTGCACTGGCAAGTGCCACACACCACCTGCACTGGCAAGTGCCACACACCACCTACACTGGCAAGTGCCACACACCACCTGCACTGGCAAGTGCCACACACCACCTACACTGGCAAGTGCCACACACCACCTACACTGGCAAGTGCCACACACCACCTACACTGGCAAGTGCCACACACCACCTACACTGGCAAGTGCCACACACCACATACACTGGCAAGTGCCACACACCACCTGCACTGGCAAGTGCCACACACCACCTACACTGGCAAGTGCCACACACCACCTGCACTGGCAAGTGCCACACACCACCTGCACTGGCAAGTGCCACACACCACCTACACTGGCAAGTGCCACACACCACCTGCACTGGCAAGTGCCACACACCACCTACACTGGCAAGTGCCACACACCACCTGCACTGGCAAGTGCCACACACCACCTACACTGGCAAGTGCCACACACCACCTACACTGGCAAGTGCCACCCACCACCTACACTGGCAAGTGCCACACACCACCTACACTGGCAAGTGCCACACACCACCTGCACTGGCAAGTGCCACACACCACCTGCACTGGCAAGTGCCACACACCACCTACACTGGCAAGTCCCACACACCACCTACAATGGCAAGTCCCACACACCGCCTACACTGGCAAGCCCCACACACCGCCTACACTGGCAAGTGCCAAACACTGCCTACAATGGCAAGTCCCACACACCGCCTACACTGGCAAGCCCCACACACCGCCTACACTGGCAAGTGCCAAACACTGCCTACAATGGCAAGTCCCACACACCGCCTACACTGGCAAGCCCCACAGTGTCAGCATAGTTGCTGATCCCTGTGTTGTATAGCATATCAGTATCATCCATGTGCTTTAGATAGGAGATCCCTAGGCCTATGACTGTTTGTGTGACGTCACGGGATGCAGCTTGAGTGTCAGGCGAGCTACCTCGGCCTCAGTCGGCGTTTGACATAGGCTAGGACAAGGCAGAAGGCTGGGCTCCATTTCCCATCATCACAGTCTGACAATATATCGTTACCATCCAACAAGTGTGTCTACCTTCAATCGCACCGCTGCCACCATTTATCGTAGGAGTTCTTCAATGGAGATATCGAGGGTTGAAGGTAGACACACTTGTTGGATGGTAACGATATATTGTCAGACTGTGATGATGGGAAATGGAGCCCAGCCTTCTGCCTTGTCCTAGCCTATGTCAAACGCCGACTGAGGCCGAGGTAGCTCGCCTGACACTCAAGCTGCATCCCGTGACGTCACACAAACAGTCACAGGCCTAGGGATCTATCTAAAGCACATGGATGATACTGATATGCTATACAACACAGGGGTCAGCAACTGCTGACACCTGCACTGGCAAACCCCACACACCGCCTGCACTGGCAAGCCCCACACACCGCCTGCACTGGCAAGCCCCACACACCGCCTGCACTGGCAAGCCCCACACACCGCCTGCACTGGCAAGCCCCACACACCGCCTGCACTGGCAAGCCCCACACACCGCCTGCACTGGCAAGCCCCACACACCGCCTGCACTGGCAAGCCCCACACACCGCCTGCACTGCAAGCCCCACACACCGCCTGCACTGGCAAGCCCCACACACCGCCTGCACTGGCAAGCCCCACACACCGCCTGCACTGGCAAGCCCCCACACACCGCCTGCACTGGCAAGCCCCACACACCGCCTGCACTGGCAAGCCCCACACACCGCCTGCACTGGCAAGCCCCACACACCGCCTGCACTGGCAAGCCCCACACACCGCCTGCACTGGCAAGCCCCACACACCGCCTGCACTGGCAAGCCCCACACACCGCCTGCACTGGCAAGCCCCACACACCGCCTGCACTGGCAAGCCCCACACACCGCCTGCACTGGCAAGCCCCACACACTGCCTGCACTGGCAAGCCCCACACACTGCCTGCACTGGCAAGCCCCACACACCGCCTGCACTGGCAAGCCCCACACACCGCCTGCACTGGCAAGCCCCACACACCGCCTGCACTGGCAAGCCCCACACACCGCCTGCACTGGCAAGCCCCACACACCGCCTGCACAATGAGGAGATAATCAGGTTTGATCCAAGGAAGGGAGCACAGCTGCAATACAACAATCAGTTGTCAATAGTGAAAGGTACTGTGACATTGGTGAAGAGCTTTTGATCCAAGGATCTGGAGTTGCCTTTCCCTTGTAAATAATACAAAAATGCTAATTAGAAGGTTCTTCCCTTCCTGGATCAAACCTGATATTCCTCTCCTAGGCGCTGTTCCACTCCTACGGATTAAACGCTTCCCCTGATAAAAACAGACCGTACAGGTTTATTCCTCATGAATATAATAATGCTGTTATTGAATATTGGTCTCGGAACTCAATAATGACTTGTTTATTTTACGATACATACAAACTACCTGCACCACGGAACTCATTTTATTTCTTGTGTAAATTGTTCTTTGGGGAGAAATGAACCTAAATAAACCTTTATTTTGGGTTGAGTACAGCCCAGAAGAGCCGAGCCAACCTACATAAAGACTCTTATTTCCATATTGGTACCTTACGTTAGTTCAAGCTCTCTACGTTATTCTGGGTTACGTTAGGATATGTCCGTGATACAACCCATTAATATTAAACATCGCCAAAATACGTTGAGGAGCAACATATATTACCTTTAATTAATTAATCAATAATAATAACAATAATCACCATCAGAGGAGCAGAAGCAGAGTTTGCCTTCACTGATGGCAGCATAAGCGAAGCCTTGAATAAGGCAGGTGTGTGGGCACAGCACTTCCACATTGCTAGCGAAGCTGGAATCAATGGACACAGTGATGACGGAGGGATCCACGCCAGCCAAGTAGCACCCGACGAACGATGCCGTTGGTGCTGCAATAACAATAATATCAGTGACATAACATTAAATTCATGGTAGATACTGTCAACACTGACGTACCTCATAGCCTAGTGTTTGGCGCGTTTAGCTGACAACCAAGAAAACACATGTTGAACTGGAAAAGACCAAGCTTTTTTCCCCTCTTCGTAAACCTGCGCAGGTCTCCCGACAGCAACAACCTTCTATTCAAAGTGTATAGGAAACTCAACAACAAAAATTATCTTATACACCTCTATTCACACTGACACTCTCACCAAAACAGGTATCCTTATCGTTTTCGTCTTGAGGGGAATCCGCATGTCCTGCCCTTGTTTCCATGAATATAAGCCTACATAACACAAGCCTACACATACACATGTCTTTATTTTCCTCATACTTCATCCTGAACTGAAGGCTCAAGCTATCATCAGCAAAACCACAACGGAACATTTCAATACAGAGTTGCTGCACTGGGTGGCCTGAAAAAAAAAACTTTCACCATCATTCACTCCATCACTGTCTTGCCAGAGGCGTGCTTACACTACAGTTGTAAAATTGCAACATTAACACCCTTCCTTCAGACTACAGGCACTGTACTTCCCATCTCCAGAACTCAAGTCTGGCCTGCCGGTTTCCCTGAATCCCTTCATAAATGTTACCTTGCTCACACTCCAACAGCACGTCAAGTCCTAAAAACCATTTGCCTCCATTCGCTCCTGTCTAACACGTTCAAGTCCCTCTCACACCAAACCTTTATTCCTTCCCTCCAACCTTTCCTAGGCCAACCCTTACCCCACCTTCCCTCCACTATAGATTTATACACTCTCGAAGTCATTCTATTATGTTCCACCCTCTCTATATGTCCGAACCACCTCAACAACCCCTCCTCAGCCCTCTGGATAATAGTTTTGGTAATCCTGCACCTAATTTCCAATCTACGAATTCTCTGCATTTTATTCACACCATATATTGCCCTCGGACATAACATCTCCACTACCTCCAGCTTTCTCCTTGTTGCAACATTCATCACCCATGCTTCACACCCATAAAAGAGCGTTGGTATAACTATACTCTCATACATTCCCCTCTTTGCTTCCATGGACAAAGTTCTTTGTCTCCACAGACTCCTAAGTGCACCACTCACCTTTTTCTCCTAATCAGTTCTATGATTCACCTCACCTTTCATAGACTCATCTGCTGACACGTCCACCCCTAAATATTTGAATACATTCACCTCCTCCATAATCTCTCCCTCCAGTCTGATATCCAACCTTTGTTACCTGATTTTATTCACTTTTAATTTTCTTTTACATACCCTACCAAACTCATCCATCAACCTCTGCAACTTCTCTTCAGAATCTCCCAAAAGCTTAGTGTTATCAGCAAAGAGCAACTGTGACAACTCCCATTCTATGTTAGATTCATTATCTTTTAACCCCAACACCTCTTGCCAAAACTCGAGCATTCCTTTCTCTTACAACTCCATTAATCTATCTGTCTATATTATATATATATATAATATATATATATATATATATATATATATATATATATATATATATATATATATATATATATATATATATATATATATATATATATAGTGTGTGTGTGTGTGTGTATGTGTGTGTGTGTGTGTGTGTGTGTGTGTGTGTGTGAACGGTATTTAGATAAAGGTAGGGAAGTTTTCATTGCATTTATGGATTTAGAAAAAGCATATGATAGAGTGGATAGTGGAGCAATGTGGCAGATGTTGCAAGTGTATGGAATAGGTAGTAAGTTATTAAATGTTGTAAAGAGATTTTATGAGGATAGTGAGGTTCAGGTTAGGGTGTGTAGGAGAGAGGGAGATTACTTTCTGGTAAAAATAGGTCTTAGACAGGGATGTGTAATGTCACCATGGTTGTTTAATATATTTGTACGTGGGGTTGTTAAAGAAGTAAATGCTAGGGTGTTGGGGACAGGGGTGGGATTAAATTATGGAGAATCAAGTACAAAATGGAAATTGACAGTTACTTTTGCTGATGATACTGTGCTTATGGGAGATTCTCTAAGAAAAGTTGCAAAGCTTAGTAGACGAGTTTGGGAGGGTGTGTAAAGGTAGAAAGTTGACAGTGAACATAGATAAGAGTAAGGTGATGAGGGTATCAAACGATTTAGATAAAGAAAAATTGGATATCACAAAGGAGAGAGGGAGTATTCAAGAAGTGAATGTTTTCAGATATTTGGGAGTTGACTTGTCAGCGAATGGATTTATGAAGGATGAGGTTAATCATAGAAGTGAGGAAGGAAAAAAAGGTGAGTGATGCACTGAGGTATTTGTGGAGATAAAAAACGTTACCCATGGAGGCAAAGGGACTGTATGAAAGTATAGTGGTACCAACACTCTTATATGGGTGTGAAGCTTGGGTTGTAAATGCTGCAGCGAGGAGGCGGCTGGAGGCAGTGGAGATGTCCTGTTTAAGGGCAATGTGTGGTGTAAATATTATGCAGAGAATTCAGAGTGTGGAAATTGGGAGAAGGTGTGGAGTTAATAAAAGTATTAGTCAGAGGGCTGAAGAGGGGTTGTTGAGGTGGTTTGGTCATTTAGAGAGAATGGATCCAAGTAGAATGACTTGGAGAGCATATATATCTGTAGGGGAAGGAAGGCGGGGTAGGGGTTGTCCTTGAGAAGGTTGGAGGGAGGGGGTAATGGAGGTTTTGTGAGCGAGGGGCTTTGACTTCTAGCAAGCGTGCGTGAGCGTTTTAGATAGGAGTGAATGGAGACGAATGGTTTTTGGGACCTGACGAACTGTTGGAGTGTGAGCAGGGTAATATTTAGTGAAGGGATTCAGTGAAACCGGTGATTTTTATATAGCCGGACTTGAGTACTGGAAATGGGAAGTATAATGCCTGCACTTTAAAGGAGGGGTTTGGGATATTGATAGTTTGGAAAGGTATGTTATATATCTTTATTTATGCTTCTAAACTGTTGTATCTGGGCGCCTCTGCAAAGACAGTGATTATGTATGAGTGAGATGAAAGTGTTGAATGATGAAAGTTTTTCTTTTTTGGGGCTTTTCTTTTTGGGCACCCCGCCCCGGGGGGAGACGGGGCCCACTTGGTTTAAAAAAATTAAAAACACACACACACATATAATATATAATATAAATAATATATATTATATATAATATATATTTTATATATATATAAAATTATATATGTGTGTGTTTTGTGTGTGTGTGTGTGTGTGTGGTTTTGTGGGGTGTTTGTGTGTGTGTGGTGTGTGTGTTTTGGGGTGTGTGTGTGGCAGGGTGGCCCGAAAAAAAAAAACTTTCACCAACATTCACTCCATCACTGTCTTGCCAGAAGGGTGCTTTACACTACAGTTTTTAAACTGTAACATTAACACCCCTCCTTCAGAGTGCAGGCACTGTACTTCCCATCTCCAGGACTCAAGTCCGGCCTGCCGGTTTCCCTGAATCCCTTCATAAATGTTACTTTGCTCACACTCCAACAGCACGTAAAGTATTAAAAACCATTTGTCTCCATTCACTCCTATCAAACACGCTCACGCATGCCTGCTGGAAGTCCAAGCCCCTCGCACACAAAATCTCCTTTACCCCCTCCTTCCAACCTTTCCTAGGCCGACCCCTACCCCGCCTTCCTTTCACTACAGACTGATACACTCTTGAAGTCATTCTGTTTTGCTCCATTCTCTCTACATGTCCGAACCACCTCAACAACCCTTCCTCAGCCCTCTGGACAACAGTTTTGATAATCCCGCACCTCCTCCTAACTTCCAAACTACGAATTCTCTGCATTATATTCACACCACACATTGCCCTCAGACATGACATCTCCACTGCCTCCAGCCTTCTCCTCGCTGCAACATTCATCACCCATGCTTCACACCCATATAAGAGCGTTGGTAAAACTATACTCTCATAAATTCCCCTCTTTGCCTCCAAGGACAAAGTTCTTTGTCTCCACAGACTCCTAAGTGCACTGCTCTCCCTTTTCCCCTCATCAGTTCTATGATTCACCTCATCCTTCATAGACCCATCCGCTGACACGTCCACTCCCAAATATCTGAATACATTCACCTCCTCCATACTCTCTCCCTCCAATCTGATATCCAATCTTTCATCACCCAATCTTTTTGTTATCCTCATAACCTTACTTTCCTGTATTCACTATTAATTTTCTTCTTTTGCATACCCTACCAAATTCATCCACCAACCTCTGCAACTTCTCTTCAGAATCTCCCAAGAGCACAGTGTCATCAGCAAAGAGCAACTGTGACAACTCCCACTTTATGTGTGATTCTTTATCTTTTAACTCCACGCCTCTTGCCAAGACCCTCGCATTTACTTCTCTTACAAACCCATCCATAAATATATTAAAGAACCACGGTGACATCACACATCCTTGTCTAAGGCCTACTTTTACTAGGAAATAATTTCCCTCTTTCCTACATACTCTAACTTGGGCCTCACTATCCTTGTAAAAACTCTTCACTACTTTCAGTAACCTACCTCCTACACCATACACCTGCAACATCTGCCACATTGCCCCCCTATCCACCCTGTCATATGCCTTTTCCAAATCCACAAATGCCACAAAGATCTCTTTAGCCTTATCTAAATACTGTTCACTTATATGTTTCACTGTAAACACCTGGTCCACACACCCCCTACCTTTCCTAAAGCCTCCTTGTTCATCTGCTATCCTATTCTCCGTCTTACTCTTAATTCTTTCAATAATAACTCTACCATACACTTTACCAGGTATACTCAACAGACTTATCCCCCTATAACTTTTGCAGTCTCTTTTGTCCCCTTTGCCTTTATACAAAGGAACTATGCATGCTCTCTGCCAATCCCTAGGTACCTTACCCTCTTCCATACATTTATTAAGTAACTGCACCAACCACTCAAAAACTATATCCCCACCTGCTTTTAACATTTCCATCTTTATCCCATCAATCCCGGCTGCCTTACCCCCTTTTATTTTGCCTACTGCTTCACGAACT